CATCGGGAGAAATAATTGATGAACATTTGTCAAAAGAATAAAACAATCAAATAGTAAGTTAAAGTTGAGAAATGGTTACCCTGAACCCATCAAAATATAAGAAACCAACATGCAAACCCGTTGGTATTTCTTGTATTCGGTTTTGTGGTCGCAGTGCGAACTTGAGCAATATCATAAATCCCAAATAAAACCCCGACGAGCCGCCTCCGAGACAGCCAAATGGATGAGTCCCAGGGAACATCAACAATACCGCGTCCACCAGGAATGATAAGACAAACATGATCACATATTTTTATTTTTTCAAATAATGTAAAGAATTAATGATATGATTAACTTCAATTACTATGAATTTACGAAAGATGAAAAGAGAAAATTATGCATTACCTTTTTATTATCGTGTAAACTCCAATTCGTTATTAATTCCGCACGTAGGGAACAAAGCAAGCCCAGGCTGCCACCATGACCGCCTCCCCGTGCCTCTCCCCGAAAAAATAGCGAGGATGAGATATTCCCTCCAATTCCAGACAAGATCAAAATAGTTCCAACTTTCACTACAAAAATTGAAATGAAAACACTGTTCATAAAGTACAAGAAATGAATATTTAAGGAACGAAGAAAGACGATGAGAGTTTAGGAAAGGAATTGAGTATGGACAACTCACCCAAAAAAAAACTTACCAGAGCCGTGATGTTTCTCCATGCGGATACCGATTACGAACAGGAAAACCAGATGTGGGATTAAATGAAGTAACCCTTCATCCACCCACAATGCCGTCAGGAACCTCCAAAATTGGCGCTCCTCAGTTATTTTTTCCCAGTTGAGGGCTCCCAACCGCACCATCCTTAATACCAACATTAAAAAAAAAAAAAAAAAGTTAGTACAACATTCAACACAAAAAAAAAAAAAAAACGATTTTCCACAATCGAAACAACAAAAGAAATAAAGAAAAGGAGGAGAAGATATTTACTACAAAACAAAATTAAAAAAAAAATCTTATACTACATTTAACACAAAAAATAATGATTTGCCTCTATCAAACACTTATTAGCATATCATTTAGAAGATCATTATTCAATTTGTTCCGCTACGATATAAACAACAAAAGGAAAAACACACAAAAAAAAAGGAGAAGATAAAGCAAGAATAACTCGTCAAGTAAGATTTTGCAATGAATCTAAAAAAGATAACATCATTTGACACACAAAAAAAAAAAAAAGAATCAATACTCACGTGTAATCAGAAGCCCCGACCGCCTTATTCTTGGAGAAATGCTCGAATCCACCATTCATGCTGATTTGTATGATGAACATCACAATTTTAGCTACAAAAACCAATGTAATTACCCACGGGATTTTTTTTCTCCCTGTTTCGCTGCTTTCCACATCAAACTCCAAATCATCAAGGTAATCATCAAGGTCAATACCAAAACACTCCACCATTTTTCAAAGCTGCTGCTTCTTCTTCTTCTTCTTCGTTTCTTTTTTTTTTTCCTTTCTTCTTTCTTTCTTTTTTGCTTGTTCTTCTTCTCGGAGAATGAAATGATCAATGTAATAGCCTCTATATATATGCAAAAAGTAAAGAAGATAACATGTAACAACTATTTCCAAATTTGTATGTGGTAACTTTTTCATCCAACTGATTATTAGTAAATCCCATAAGAGGAAATGAAAGTTTATAACTTCGTTGATCCTTCCTAAGGTGTAACTTCGGGAAAAAGTAATTAAAAGGGGCTGGGATATATTGTAATGGTGCACTTTGTTTTTATTTTTTATTTTTTTTGCCTTAACTTTGCATATTCAAAATTAATACATGTGGTGAAGAATTCAATTAGTCACTATTTTCTTTCATAATTAATTTCTAATCATTCTGAAATGATTAACACAGCTAAATAAAATGTTTGGGGTAATTTACTTCTTACATAAATTAAATATTCAATTATGCTTCTATTTGGGGCTACATACGTACAGTATCTTGCAATCACATATGAAATGAAGGCATGGAAAAAAAAAAAAGGGACCAATAGCAACAAAACAAATTCTAATGTCAGGATTAACTCTGGGGCAACTACCATCCAAAATGTAAGTGTCTAATCACTCTAACATCATCAAAACGTGTTGGAGTCAAGGGGGAGTCAAAAATTCAAAACGCAACTATCAATCTCTTTAAAATGTAAATATAGCAAAAATCAAATTTTGCTTGTGCTAGATTAATCATTTGATTTAGAATGTTATACGTGTTGATCGTCCTTGTAAGTTCTAACCAGAAAAAATTAATCCTATAATATTTACTTTGATTTACTCTCACATTAAGTATTTTAATTAATGATGTGAAATTGACCCCAAACAAAGGATTATTCACGGGAAACGCTAAAACTCGCGGAGGATTTAATCCCTAAACTCCAACCCTTTTCCCCGTTTATTTTACCTTTGTTCCCTTGACCAATATAATTAGCAAAGGATGAATTGATCATCTTAGACAAAAAAAAAAAATAAAAACAAAAATAAAAAATAAAAAATCTACATGATCATGAAAGGGGAAGAAAATATGTTAGTGCTAAATGGACCATAAAATGAAAAATACTTGGGAACAAAATCTACATGATCACGAAAGGGGAACAAAATCTACATGATCACGAAATGCCTCTTGATTAGTATTCGCTATAATTGTGTGGAAAGTAACAGAAGTATACCATGTATAATAATCTGACAAACACGCATTAAGAAAACAATAAGAACTCAAAAAAAAAAAAAATACTGTACTGAATATTTAAACTCTCGTGATGATGAAATTTATGTACGTCGATAGACATGTACTTTTTGGGCAGATCGAGACTGATGTTTACGATAATAATACTACTCCCTACATTCACAAATAGATGTCGCTGGAGAGATTTCACAAAGTTTAAGGAGGCAATAATTATCTTGTTAAAATACTATAATACCCTTATTTATTCTTAATTCAATTGTAGTCCTAATAAAATTCACTTTTAATACAATTCTACATTAAACATCACAACAATTTCCAATGTAAGGGTGATATTGGAAAAAATTGACAAAATATGCCTCGATTTATGAGAACGACATCTATTTTGGAATATTTGAGTTTTCCTCCAACGACATTTATTTGTGAATGGAGGGAGTAATTGATAAATTAAGGGGGGAAGGAAAACATAAAAACCAAAAATTCATGGTCCCATGAAATCTAGTCACCTTGGTAAGACTCTTTTGCATGGGTGTGCTCAACCTACTATGTTTGGTGGCCATAACAAAAATGGGGAGCAGAATATAATAACATCGCCTAGAAAAATGAGTAAACCAATCAAGAACAATAGTCCTGGAAGTAAATCCCACATCTTCTGCTATAACGATGTACGCACAACCATCTTTTTGTAGATTCAATTAGCAAGGAAAAAAAAAAACTTTGCTTTTTGAATGAAGAGAAATTAACAACGATTCTAAAGAATTTTGGGCAACCAATTTGACAAGGGTAAAAACATATACATGCTCTTATCATAGGAAACTTTGGTCCTCATAATCTTGGACAACAATTAAGCCTTGATTGATTCATTATTTGGAATATATTCTCTTATTATTATCACGGATACAATAATATCATTTAAAGGTCGAAATTTCCATTATCGATTTCTTTTACTCAGATATTAAAGTGGACAAAATAATGTATCGTTATAATTTATAATTGTTGGCGGGATGTAAATTACTCAAAAAATAAGTGAATCGAATTATAGCTTGATTTGATCAGGATGTGATTTAGATGTGTTATGACCCTAATCATGGTTTTGATGGCAAATCAAGCCCTACAAGAGCTAAATAATCTCTAATTAACCATTTTCTAATTTTTATGTCCTTACTTGAGCAATAAATACCTCCAAAACACAGAGAGCACAGAATGAAAAAATACAGATTATAATTAGCAAAAAGTAAAAGAAAGAGGAAATGATTTAACACTTCAATAGGAAAGTTTAAAAATGGAAGATTGAAAAGGTGGGGAACTTTTGCGTTCCCACCCTCTTTTTGGATTGTAGGAATTGTATTGATTTCTAATTAAATACAAAAGGGAGGCATAAAAGAAGTAACACCAATAAATTCATGATTAATTTGGATAGCCAAAAAAATAAAATAAAATAAAATAAAATAAAAAACGAATCATCAGACATCAGGGGTAACTGCCCTCTAAGATGTGAGTGTCTCATAAGTCAAACATCACGAAAACGTATAGGAGGGAAAGGGGAGTCAAAAATTCAAAATGTAACTATCAATCTATTTTTTTATAAAAAAAAAAAAAACCTTTTTAAAATGTAAATTTAGTGAATCAAATTGTGCTATATTTATCAATGATTTAGAATGTTTGTGGTGATCAGCCTATAAGTTCTAACATGAAAACATTAATTCTAAATTTGAGAATATTTACTTTGATTTAATGTCAGATTAAGTATTTTTCATGTGAAATTGACCACAAATAAAGGGTAATTAACGGGAAACGGTAAAACTCTACAACCTAATACTCTCTAGGTCACAAATGTCCAATTTTCATTTTCAATACAAATTATTGAAAGCGAAAATTCAAACTAGGCAATAATTTTAGAACAGAATGAGTTTTAATTATGGAGGTGAAGCAGCGGACTTAGTCACTTTGCCCCGTTACCTTTCCTTTGTTTGCCAGCAATTTCACTTCAAAATAAGTGTTTAGGGCTAAATCACTTTAATTTTATGTTTTATTTTTTGTTTAGGACTATATTTTTCAAATGTTTTGAAATTGTTACATGTTGACAAATTTTGGGATTAAATCCCTTGATGAATATTACCAGCAAAGGATCAATTGATCATCTTAGCCACAAAAATCTACATGATCATGAAAGGGGAAAAAAAAATATGTTAGTGCTAAATGGACACAAATCAACATCTATCCCGGGTTGACATGATAATGTTTAGATAATTTTGACAGTTTCCTTTTAGTACATCCCATTCAGCACATAGCGTCAAGCAAGCAACAATAAATATCCATTGAGCACGTTAGTTCCCAAAATTCAAGTACTTCTTTCAATGGTCGCAAAGAAAGAAGAAAACACAAATTCTCTTAGTTGCCCTATGAACTACCAAAAATAAAAATTATTAATAGCAATATCATTTTGGCCAAAAAATGAAAAATAAATAACCCTGATTGATATTTTACAAAAAACAACAAACCTGTTTAATACTACATTCTGCAACTGTAAACATTAATTCAAACAAGTTTCCAAGAATTACAGTAAAACTATCGCTCAACTCAAATGATTACTTTCAGGGTGAGGGTGGGGGGTGCCTGGAAGGAACGGGAATAGGATGTCCTGAATGTAAAAGCTATTTAGCTGGACATCATGACACTGTCAATCGATTGAAGTGCTTGATTGGCGTAATAACGGACATCAACATCTGGATCCTCCGCAAGTTCTACCAAAGCCGGCCGAATGGTCTTCTCGACCACCTAATAATCAAAGACCATTGGCGTTACAAATAGCGTCACAGATTTAAACACTAATGGTAGGTTTTACTAAGCTGATAGAATTGGAAAATCAGGAGTGGATGTGATTCTAGGTAAGGAAAGCCTACCGATTGGTCAACTATATTAATCAGAGACTGCAACACCTTTGCCACGTTAAATTTGATGTTAGGAACCCTAGCGATAGAGCATGTCAGCATCCAAGTTCAAGAACCCCGTGTGTAAAAGGTCACTAAGAAAGACAAGGGAAGTCAAATTACCGGTCCTTTGATGCAGTAACAACCACAGGCAACAGCTTAGAACAAGTGATCTCAGCACCCATCACAGGAGCAAGCAGTGAAATTGTGCGAAGAACGGTCATTCGATATAAATAGTGAGGATTATTTACCATATCTACAACCTGAAAATAACTTCAACTAGTATATTCAATATATGGAGATAAAAATGAAAGCAACTAATTGTCTGATTCCACAATGACGCCATTCAGTACCTATGATCATTCAATTATATCAATTATATCAAAAAAAAAAAAATTGATATAATTGAATGATCATAGGTACCGAATGGTGTCGTTAATGGATATTTTATCAAGTATATTATGTGTCAAACCTATGACATCACAATGTCACAAGGGCAAAACATTGCATTTTTTCTCCTGGAACTTATCAAACGAACCTGAGGAACAATATGCTGCATTGCCCATTCAGGACCAAATTCCTCTGCCAGGCGTTTCAGGTTATTTGCAGCTGCATCTCTAATTGAATAAACCTGCAGCAGAGATCCAAAGCAGTAAGGGGAAACAATTAACAATAACAGTAGTAGCGCCTCATTCAAGGACCAACGGGGATAAAAACAACTGTTCCCAAAAGTGATACCTCAATGAGAGAGAGGTAATCAAATTAGTCCCCAGTTTTAACATCATTAAAAGAGACATTTTGGCTTTAAAAGTAGATATAAGTTCAACCAGAAGTGGCCTAAAAATGACGGATAGTCAATTACTAGAAAGAAAGGAAATTCAACAATTGCTCATTAGAAAGGGGGAACAAAAGAAAAGAAGACTCTTTTTTGAAAGACAAGCTAATTTGAAACTCCGTAACCTATTTACAAGTTAACACAAATTTAATGAAATAAGGCACATAGATTCAGTGAAAGCTCAAGTAGATCTCATTGATTGTCTCACCTTGTCCTGTAACCACTGCATGCACAGAGCACCAAGCTTGTCATCAAAAAAACCAACACCAAGCTGACTTGCCAGTAATGGTATGTATTCGATGATTGCAAGACGAACTCTCCAATGCCTATCCTCTGCAAGCTCAACTATAGCTGGCAGTAAAGATTGTGATAGTAAATCAATACCAATGACCTGCAGGATTCCAAAAACAGATTACCACGAGGTAACAAAGCACTAGGTAACACTGAGAATCATATCACAAACTACAAACAGTGTAAATAGGTATCTAAGCTTTACAAATAACAGCTTCCAAAATCTATAACAGTGGCGTGCTCCACCATTTTAAGATCATTTCACATAACAAGACATAGCAAATCAAACAAGAGAAAAGATTCAATATCTTGAAACATCACAAACCTGGTTGACTTGATCAAGCTTGCTAATAATGTTGAGGCGTACATCAGGAAATTCATCCTTCAGAAGAGAGAGGAAAATTGGTAGAAGTTGTTCAATGGTCGCATCCTACAAAGACAGATTCGAACTGGAAAGTCAGGGACACCTTAACCAAGATAACCCAAAAAAAAATAAACTCAGGGACTCCAAGAAAATCTTAATGAAAACAACATGCATATGTGCAGAATTCCAAGAACACATAATGCAATATGAATACACATAGCTTTCATCTTCTCCTTCCCTTTTCTCTTTTCTAAAAAGTCATGAGTTCTGGGTCTAATTAAAAGCATAACAAACAGAATTTTCAACCAGAAAATCAAGTCCTTGAATATGTTTTGCCTCATCAAGAAAAAGCTAACTAAAACACCTATATGAAGCAACACTATATGCTAATAGAAAATGGAAAAGTCTAAGTTCTAAAAGGCTACTTTGAGAGAGTGAAACTTAAGCGAAACTTATAGAAAAAGTGCCTTGAAAAGTCTATATCACCTCACCACCAAACCCCCTTCCATTTCAAGTGAACAAACTGAACAATGAAGAGCAATTTAGAACAAAAACGAAAAAGGAAAAGAGAGATAAAAAAAATGCAGCTCAAACCAGCTTCTATATCTTTACTCTATTTACAAATACTACACAGTTCTTATGGAGAAATATTTATGAAACAGCCATCTAGATAGAATAGATCTTGAGGCAAGATCCATCAGTTAAAGTTGGAAGGCCAAAGAGACAAATAACAGTAATATTATGAATTTTTGTTTAGTGATAAAGTATTTGCGTCAACCGAGCCCGATGGTGAAATGTGATCCATATAGCGAAAGTGACATAGTAGGTTTACGACGTGTTGTTTATTTCATTATTAAGAAGATCATGATTAACTTCATGTTAATCAAACATGATACAAGAAATAGATGTAATGAATTTAGCACCAAACAAATTCAGTAAACAAATAGTTACTGAACAAAGCAACTAAACATTACTTTCACAAACTACACCAGGAAATTAACCTTTACTGTTCAACAGTACATGACTAATGAAGCACATCAAAGGGAAAAACAAATCAAAGGAAAATGACCAGAAAAACAAATCAAAGGTAAAGTGTGCATATACACAAGCTATTTCATTGACAACATTATCCATGTGAACAAAGTTTATGGTCATGAATCATTTAAGGTCCATGGAATTGTCCAAACTCGATAAATTCCTTTCTCTTAGCAAATTTGAAAAGATAACTGCACCAGCTGTATGCTCAACTACAGTATTAAACATTAATAACGAATTCCTCACCTTTCCTAAAACAGGAGCCATTCCCATAATAACAGAGGCCAAGGCTGACCTAACATGCTGGGAAGAATCTGATGACAGTTCCTGAAAGACGCAATTGCAGATTATGTGTAGAGCACAAGCGAAATAGAAGAACTAATTTATCTTGTAAGAAGGAATTCAAAGCGTTCTCAATACCTTCACACAAGGAAGAATATGCTGAATAGCTAGGTCTGGATTAAGAATTCGACAAAATTTGGTGACTTTACCAGCTGCAGCTATACGCACTTCAGCTTCATTATCACGAAGTAAACGCACATATGCAGGAACGAGGTCCGTCCTAAATATCATCATAATCACCCTCTATTAGATATATTCGTAACAAAATTATTTTTTATGATTAGAAGTCAATAGGAAAATGAATGGGATAGCAAATTCGAGAGAGATTAAAGAACACCATAAGTAAAAGAATACAGACTAATCAAGGAAACCAGGCTCAAGGTTCGAAATAACTAATTAAAGCAGTAGGAGTGAAGTCTTAATGCGGACAAGAGTTAGCCAATTAAACAGTAGACAGGTAAAAACCACCCATGCTGTGAAAAAACAAAAACTTAAATTACCTTGTAGGTTCAGGTCCAACAGCTTCACAGAGCTCATATAATTGGTTTGCAACCATATATCTGACACGCCAAGACTTATCCTGACACACAAAAGAACATGAAGTTTAAGGTTACCGAAGATATTATAACCTAACAAGAGGCATTGAGAAACCTTTTTAAAAGCAGCTAACTTTTATAACCTTTTTAGCACAAAAAAGGCTGTTGCTACGGACCAAACGTTGCTAAATTACATCCATAAAAAATGATGGAGACATAATATAACGTAACTATTATTGTCATGAAAGGTGCTCCAAGTCATTGTTCTTAATCCCTTTAAAGTAACATGTAATGCTTAAACATGCCCAATCAAAAATAAAATAGAATAAAAATGTAGCACAACCATTGCAGAAAGCAGGTATCCCAATTAACTGGAGGACAAGTACGCAGAAACTTTATTTGTACCTGAGAGAAGTTGACAATAACAGGCAGGATATGTGCAACGCAATCTTGGGGCTCCAACAACTTTCCAAGAGCAGCACAACCCTCTACAGCTAGTAGGCGCACAGAATCTTGATCTGAAAATTATTTATAAACCATACATAAATTATATCTCCAATAAAAGACATGTCTTCTGTTAAAAAAAAAAGGATCCTAAGCTTTCAGAGAGGATTAAGGCAAGAATTTCAGTGTCTAATGGCAATCTTAACATATCTTGAAGTAACAGAAATAATAACAATAATAAAAGGAAAGGGGGAGAGAGAGAGAGAGAGAGAGAGAGAGAGAGAGAGAGAGTGAGAAGGAACATAACTTCCACCACAAATTTCTAACTATATGCCTTCTTTTAAGCATTTCAATTTCTTAATCACCAGAAGTTTTAAGACAAACCATGTATTTAATGGAATCCCGAGGAATACAAGTATCTGATGGTAACAGTACCATTTTAGTTCATGGAATTCAAACAACTAAGACTAAGCATAAAGCTAAAGAAATATTTGTCCACCTCCTAGTGCGGTATTAATGGCAATACTTAATGTTAAGCTATGTTCGGTCAGGACCACATATAACTTTTGTGTCTGTAAATTTAAAGCCGAGCAGTATGCAATACAACAATTACCATCTTGTGTCAGATCCTCAAACATTGACATGATGTCAGTCTTAAGATGAGCAGGTTCAACTGTAGCAGCAAACTTCCCTAAGTTTGTAGCCGCAGCTCTTCTCACCATAGGCATATCATCTTGACACAATTGGCTGTATATAGAGCGAAGTTCTGTCTTCAACATTGCCGGTGCACTTGCATAGGCAATATGAAAAAGTCCACATGCAGAAACCCGGGCAGTAAACCATTCGCCAGCCGCAAGCCTCTGTAATGCAATGCAACCATGCATAGAAATAATGCACATGTATCACATGACGATCAACGACTCAGATAAAACACATTACAATGTTAGACAGGATAAACTAAGAGAATCATGGTAAACATGTATACATCAGGTCTAGTGAGAAATAAACCATCCCACGCCTAATGTGAATGGCTAGAAGAAAGAATTAGTTTTAAAAACTTGCTTGCCAACAAATATAAGGCGTAAAGTTATCAACTCTGACATGCACCTATCTCGACCTCAGATCACAGCATAAAATAGTAAATAATAATCACCTACGTAATGAGAAGAGGGAGAACCCAAAAAGTAATCAGAAAACAGAAAAAATCCCATTGCAAACAACTAAAACGAAACTTCATTCCCAGCAATAATGTCACCCTATTGTATAATGGAGTAATGATCCAGGAAAGTTATCAAACCTTCACAAGGGGAATAAACCATTCAACCAAATCATTTTCCCTCATCTGGGACCCGATTCTACACAATGACTCCACAGCTTTATCTCGCACACAGGTTTCTTCTACAGTGCAAAGAGTCTCCAAAGGAGGTAACAAGACATGGGCATACTCCACACCCCCAACATAAGGAATAAAGACTCCCAACTCCTCTGCCATTGCAAGTAGGACCTCATCATCGTCGTCATTATTTTCACTCAGAAAAGGAATCAGTTCTTTCCGGGTCCTCTCCTCGCCAAGGGCACGTGCAATTGTATTCAGCCTGCGTATTGAATTGAGCCTCAGCTGAATATCGTCATTCTTCAGCTCATCAATCAGTACTGCTATTGGGTACAATGGCTCATCCACCATCGACATTTTGCCCTGGAAAATTAAGCAGAGATATCAACTTTTAGACACTAACAGAAGGTAAACTACACGTAAAATAAACACAACTAACGCATGTTTCTTTAAAACCATCTCAATTTAACCCAAATGTGAGCTGAAATGAAGAATACAGCCTAAGATCTTCACAAAATACATTTAATACTCAAATGAATACTTAGAAAGACCGATAACAAAGAAATCATAGAAGCATAGAGCTATGAAAAGCAACCGAATCGTAAAATCTCAAATGCCGAATCAAAGGAAAATGACAAGCGAAAAATGCTTCAATTATGGATGAGTTGGTTTCAAATCCATGAACAATTTCAATACAAATAATTTCCAATTTCCTTCAATCAAATAACAATTGCATAAGGCATATTAAGTAAAGCCATGTGTATTATGAGATCTATAAACAGAAGTCCAAAAGATAAAGTGATTGGAGATGTCAAATAAATTCAAGAACAAATAACCATGACAAGAATACAGAGAATTTTTCGTATGAGAAGATAGAATCGGGTGGTGGAGACATACCGGTGGCTATATCTTCCCGCCGGCTTCTTCAGATTCGAAGGCTTTTCCGCAGAGGGGGAGAGAGGAGGAAGAGGAGGAAGAAGAAGTTCGTACTGTATTTTTATTTTATTTTTTTATTTTGTTATCGAAATATCAGTTGGGAACAGAGGGGTTGTAATTTTTTCATGGGCTTTTACAAGCCCAACATAACCGGTTTTGGCAACTACAGGCTGAAATGAAATAGGCTGACGACTGTTACTACTTCCAACAGTCTAGTTGAGCATTGAGAATTTGGAATAATTTTGGCCCATGATTTTATTTTATTGAGTTAATTTCACAAGAACACTTTCAAAATTGGATTTTAAAGAAATTTGTTTCGTTTAAATGAAGTGTATTTTGGTTAGAGTGACGCTATGAAGTAGGATTCCGGCTTTAATTGTACAGATCCGGTAAGGGTGCATAGTAATGTGTTTACTAGAGTTCAAAGGATGTTAGATTTTAATTAACGAATGTCGCCAATTGAATGGTGTTAGCTGACTCGTATATTCAATTTGGAGTTTAAACTATTATATCCAATCGGTTACATATTTTGACAATATTTCTAGCTAAAATGAAGGATTTAATTAAACTAGACGATAATCGCATTTCATTCATAAAAAGATGTTTAATACGTGAAATGTACCGTCAATGACCGAATCCATTTTCTCAACTAAATCGGAGTTCCGAGCCAAAAAAAAAAATAAGCAGCAGTAACTAACTGTATCTCCAATTCTCCCAAACGGTGGTTGAAAGAAATATAAGGGGTGCGTAGCTCGTGCTCGAGATTATTTCAACCACCAAAATGCATACAATTTTACCAAATCCATAAGGAAATGGCTCTTATTTCTCGTTATAAATATGGTCATAAACTCAACAACATATGCAAGCTATCCCACAATTTGAGGCATTGTTAAACCTACATTTCCACTACATATTTTTTTCTTCCATCAAAAAAAAAACAAAAAAAAAAACACACACACACACACACATCTCTTGCATACCCGCCACACAAACTTACAAGAATTATGGAAGAAGATGAGGAAGGAAGAAAAAGAAGCAGAAAGGATGAATCTAGAAGATTCTTAGTCCAGGTATAAATAACTTTCTTCGTCATTTTGCCACCAAATTAAACTGATGATAAGAGTACTTCAATTAATCTTCTCTTTATTACGTAAGATGTTATATCTTACTAAATACTAACAAATGGTTTTGCAGGAAGAAACAGAAAAAGATCAATGAAGTTTGGAACACTCATTTGAGCAAGAGTATTGGAGCTGCGTACATGTTGAAGGGACGAGGATTGCAGACAGTTTTACAGCCTCGACCTCGGACCTTCAACGGTTTCAAGTTTGAAGCTGGATTATAAAATCCCAGCTTCCGGAATACTACTAGACATTATATATACGTATATATGCATAGATCGAAACGGAAACCATTTGGGATGTTTGTCTCTCTTTCACAAAACCAGTCATTAGTTAGAGCCGTGCATGGCACATTTTGCTTTGCTCTGTAATTTGTAGAGTACTCGAGGAAACACAAATGTTTATAGTATTTCTTTTTCATTTGCTGCCCAATTGTCAGGGTGGCTTTTATTTGGTCTTTTAACTCTTTTTTGTAGTTTTGTTCTAAAATACAAGTTTTATACTTGTGACGTTCTAAAATTATTGTTCAGTTTCGATTTTCATTTTTAATACAATTTGAACTAAAATTAAAATCTGAACAATAATTTTAGGATAGGGAGAGTATATCATATTATCTTAGCTAAACAAATATTATTCCTTATAGAAACAGAAAAAAGTTGTACCCAACGTGAAGGTTATTGGTTGAACAAATCTCATGATGGTTTTAACTATTAACTACAAAAAAAGACTTATGATTAAATGAGTTTTTATTCTACAATTATGGAGCTAAAATACTAGTTTAACATACGCAACTACCGTACGTTGTTACCGATTGAGAGTTTCCTTTGATTTTGAGATTTTCGTAGGATACTTATTAACAGCGGAGGGAACAGCAAGAGAGGATTCTGCGATGTCCCAAATTGCTCAGTTTCGTAGGATACTTATTAACAGCGGAGGGAACAGCAAGAGAGGATTCTGCGATGTCCCAAATTCAACTGAGCAATTTGGGCACGCTTCATTTATGGAAATTCCGGTGTACTTTTCTCAAGAGAAGATGATAAGTGATCAGAAAATTGTCATGAGTGTTAAGCAAAAATGCAAATTAATTTACTACTCCCTCTATCCCAAAATTATTGTCTAATTTGAGATCTCTCTTTTAGTACAATTTGAACTAGAAATGAAAAATCAAACTGGACAATAATTATGAGACGGAGGGAGTATATAACAAGGAGGAAAATTGAAGAAAAAAAGATCATTTACATGATTCCTTTCATGTGATTTAAGACCAAATTAAACAACTTTAAAGCCATTTAAAAGGGTGTTCGACCTGTTCACAAGACATAGTTCATGTAATTTTTTCCTCACTTTTACATTTGGATGGATATATATCAGAACATAATTTATTCAGTACTTCATTGTGAAAATCAGGACACTTATCATAACGCAGTATGCACGCAATCTGTCCCCTGCATTGACATTTTTAAAGTGTTTTACTGATCAGTGGAACTTCTTAATTAATTATTCGCATTACGCACAAAAAACACTGTAGAATATTCTGTTTCAATAAAGACTACGATTGATCAATATAGTATCACTGAAACCATGCACAACTATTCTTTCCGCTTAATCAACTTCTGTCTTTTTTTAAAAAAAAAAGTCCTCATAAATATCTTGATTAACTCAATCATTCAGGTAAACATATAATATTAAGGTGTATAATCTGTCCCATATCGTCACCGTGAAGAGAAGTGACTCAGTATATAAGTTCCAAAGGCCACCCCACCCATTGTCAATTGGTTTTGAGATGGGAGCCCAAAGTACTTATATACTTTGACATGGTATCAGAGCGTGCTGGGCCTGTAGTGAAGTTCTGGGCGTGTTGGGCATGTGGTGGAGTTCTGGGCCGAAGGTGGCCTGTGGTGATTTTATATTCTCCCACTTGAGCGTTGACTCGTATAACTGGTTTTCTCCCACTAGAGCGTTGACTCGTGGGCTTGTTGTGGACCGATCCAGCGGTATAACTAGCTTTCTCCCACTTGAGCGTTGACTCGTGGGCTATTCTGTTCTTGTCATGATCCAAGTCCATTGGGCAAAAAAAAGTTAGTTCAAAGACCCATTAGACTTGAGGGAGGGTGTTAAGGTGTATAATCTGTCCCACATCGCCACCGTGAAGAAAAGTGACTCAGTATATAAGTTCCAAAGACCACCTCACTCATTGTTAATTGGTTTTGAGATGAGAGCCCAAAATACTTATATACTTTGACATATAATTAATTAAATTCGTCTTGAATTAATCCTACTGGTCTCGTTCATGATTGAGACTACATGAGAGGACAAACTCTTGCCAATACCTATACGAAACTAGATTTGTCTTATTATAAATATAGCCGTTGACCACAACCTTTCTTTCTTTCTTTCTTCATTATTATTGTTATTTTGGGTGGTTTCCCCCAATAATTAGTTGATTTAGCGTTAGGTGTGGCTGTTAGTTTGGCGTTGTTGGGTGTACGAGAGCTAGAAAGAATGGTGGGTAGGTGGAGGTGTGGAGCAAGAAGATGGTGAAGGTATTTACTCGTTTTTTTCGTCTCAAAGTAAAATATCGAATGAATAACAGAGGGAATGATTCGATATTCTCAAAGCTGTTATCAAAATTTTGATTAATATATTAAAGAAAAAAAAGAAAGAAGTGTCTCAAATTCTGAATAATTATTGAGCTGAAACAAATAATATGCTCCTTTTTCTTGACCATGTCATTCCCACAAGTTGATTGACATGATGGAAAGCATCACGTAAATCTATATATCTATCTTCTATAGCCTATACGGCTAATCAACATCATGTCAACTAATTTGCAGTTTGAAATTTAATTGGTGCAAACTTTCATGCGCAAATTCGATGGCGACGAGACGATGCAAGCTATATATGTACAGTTTCCAGGGTTTTTTTTTGGGGGGGGATTTTTGTAGCCAACAAAATTAGTACTCAAAGCCACCTCAAAAAATTGTTGACGATTTTGCCCCTGCCAGTAGAGAGAGAAAGAAAATGACTAATTCAGAGGTAAAAAAAAAAAAAATTTAAAAATAACCGAACCGGTCAAAAAAACGTCCCGGTTGAACCGGGGACGCGCAAGAAACGCGTCCGGCCATTGAACCGGACGCATACATTCCGCGCCCCGGTTCAACCGGGACGCGTATATTGCACGGCCGGACCGGGTGAAATCGAACCGGACGCGCAATATACGCGCCCCGGTTGAACCGTGAACGAGCAATACACGCGTTCAATCCGTTGGCGGACGGGTACAACACGCGTCCGGTTCACCGGGACGCGCGCAATATACGCGTTCGGCCATTGAACCGAACGCGTATATTGCGCGTCCCCGGTTGAACCGGGACGCGTGTGTTGCGCGTTTCCGGTTCAACCGGGTTTTTTTTTTTTTTTTAATAATTTTAATTTCATGCATGTTATTATGTTAATTTATCTTGTAATTTAATTAGTTATGTTAAGTAATTGAATTAGTTTAATTATATTTATTTATTGCATGTTATGTTAATTAAATTTAATTAGTTATGTTAAGTAAATTTAATTAGTTATGTTAAGTAAATTAATTAATTGAATTATATTTTTATTTATTGCATGTTTTGTTAATTTAATTAAGTAAGAATATTATTATTGTATATCTTAAATTAATTATTTATGTTAAGTAATGTAATTAGTTGAATTTTATTTATCTATTTAGATCTAATTAATTCGAGATAATATTTATTTAGGGGGAAATAATTAAATAATTAAAGAATTTTGTGGAATAAGTATTTAATTTAGTAAATAATTAATCTATTTAATTAATCGCTAATATTTATTAGGTAGGTATTGGAAAATTTAATTTAGTAAATAATTAAGGAATCTATTTACTGTAAATATATGTTTTTTCATTATTTATTATAATTGTTTAACTTTTTTAAATTATTGAAATATGTGTTTAATTTAATTTATTATGATGCAGTTTTTTATTGTTGTAATTTTATGTTTAATTTGCAGGATTCTTTAGAAGATTTTGGTGGCGATGGTCAAGATTACAGCATATTATTTGCTACAGATGAGGAATTTGCAAACAAGGATGATGCTGTTGCTTGGGTGAAAGGCATGGGCATGGCAAATGGTATGATTATAAATGTAGTTTCTAGTAAGAAGAAGAATGCTATTCTGATGAGATGCTGTAGAGGGGGAAAGGTATCAGTTGATGATGGTGAATACTATGTCACATCAGATTCGAAGACACAGAACACTGGGTGTAAATTTAAGTTATATGTGCACCCAGTGGATGGGAAGTGGCGCATTCGGGTGTATCCTGGTGAGTTTGGAATGCATAACCACGAGCTGTTTGACGAAGATCATCCCACGAGGGGCCTTAGCGATGGAGTGAAACGAACTTATACGGGGTATGTCCAAAGATGGGTGCAGGACCGTGTCGATCATGACTGCGATTCGAGGATCTTTCCGATGAAAAAGTTAACAGACGGCAAGTGTACAATTTCGGAAGAAATTGCGTAATGAGGATTCCGGTGTTGGGTGAATCGAGTGCCATGGATGTCGCGACGAAGACACTAGCGGTGGCCAAGCATCATGGTTACATCATCATGACAGATTGCAATCGGAGACAGTGTCTTGACTCGTGTATTTTTGCTCATCCCGATCTTTGTCAATTTATTTTGCGATTATTTATGGGTCGTCGGGATAGACTCAACATACAAGACGAACAAGTACAAAATGCCGTTGGTTGAGTTTATTGGGATGACACCGTGCAACCAGAACTTCCTGATTGCATACGCCCTCTTGAGTGACGAGACTGCTGATAGTTATTATTGGGCTTTGAGACAGTTAAGGGATTTGCTTCCTCGTCATCTTTCTCCAGTTTGTTATTGTTACCGATCGGGAAAGGGTTGATGGCGCCACTGGTATGGTATTTCCGATTCATGCCACTTGTTGTGTGTTTGGCACGTTTATGAGAATGTAAAGTGACATCTCAACAAGGAATTGAAAATTGATGCCAAGATTGCAAATGGATTTACATATGGGTTGTGGAAAGATGTTGTGGAAGCTAATAACCAGGATGAGTACAATAAAGTCATTGCCGTAATAAACCGTCGTTGGCGATCTTTTCCGAGAGTTCTTACTTATATCCGAAGACATGGCTAGTGGTTGACTACAAATTCGTCAAGGCATGGACGAATGCGTGTTTCATATGGGCAACACTACTACGGTAGGGTGGAAAGCGCGCCTGCGATTAAAAACACGGCTAGAAACATCCACGGCGTCCTGGATACACTTTGGGCTAAGGTGCACTTGGAAATTGAGTCGCCTAACCGAAATACGGTAAGTTCTATTCCATTATATTAGAAGTTATATTTATTATAATATATTTAGTAATTATTTTGTTTTTATGGCATTTACGTAGAATGTTTTGATGAATTGGCTACATTCAGGTACAAATTGGAGTACTCGAGACAGAAAATTGGCACCCATTATTGCGGTTTTCCACTGAACCGCTTGAAGTTTCAAGTTTCACATACTTGTTTCCAAAAGCTGAACACTGAGTGGTCGAAGGTGCAAGAGTGGAAAGAAGAAACCAATGACCGATGCGATCATGTGGTGTACTGGACTTGTCGAATTCCATGTGCGTACGCCCTCAAAAAGGCTGCAGATGCCGGCACATCGATAACTCTTAAGCATATTCACCCATTTTGGGCGACCCTTAATATTGGTGAACAGGCTGGTACGAGTGCTCCTACCGATGTGGATGACGAGGTCCTTTATACCAGACAGTTGATGGAAGAGCTGAATGAGTGTCCTAAGGCAGTACGACGTACTGTAAATAGGGTTCTCCACGATATTATGCATCCAGAACAGTGTGGGTTCAAACAACCCGAGGAAGTCAAGAGAAGGAAGGGGCGGCCTAAGGGGGCTAAATCAAAGAAAAAAACAGAGGCCAACCCTGTTGCCCATGAACAATCCCCACAGAAAAAAGCAACTCCTAATGTGTGGGATTACAGGGACGAGGCGCAAGGAAAGTCGACCACAGTTACTAGCGATTCAAGTAAGAAGCGCCCCTCGTCTTCAGGTGGTCGTACAGATGCATCCACAGGTACATGTTAATAAGTAATTGTTCATAATATTCTTTATTTATTATCAATTGTTCTAAATAACATTATTTCCGTGTAATGTACAGATATCTTTGCGAATGATATTTCACAGTATGGTTGCTACGACCTCATTCCATGGCCCATTCGGCCATATATTACCAGTTACCTTGATGTTGGTGCCGATGGCAATTGTGGATTTCGCGTAGTCGCGAGTAACATGTTTTTGAGCCAGGAGAAGTGGCCGATGGCAAGAGAGGCAATGGCAAACGAGCTAGAACAGAATTGGCATCTGTACACTAGAATCTACGGGTATAAATACTTTTCATTCTATATGTTATGATATTTCCTGAACTTGGCAGTAATTTGCACAAATAATTGTATATGTAAATGCAGGACGTCCTTACAGGAAGAAGTCCGTCGTATACGGTGGAGTGGACAGGGTTTTGCACCTAATCGCCATTGGATGTGTGTGACGGACTTGTTCGTAGTTGCGACTATGAACAATGCAATTGTGTACTATTACGGTGCAGGGGAAGAAAACCAGTCGCTAAACTCATCATGTTGGACTATACTACCTGTCACTGCACGCGGCGAGGTAACATGTCCGGCATTTGAGATTGGGGTATGTCACCATGGTCTTTACAAGCACTTCATTCGGATCAATTTGGACGGTGACTTTCCAGTTCCACCAATCAATAATCAGTGGACTAAGGAACATCAGCCTAGCGTTACTGGTTGGGAATTACCACTTCTTCCTAGAATTCAAGATTGGTATAGGTTGGTCCCTAACAATCCTAGGCGTCCCGTGAATTTTCAAAATGATTTCATTGATATTAGTTTCTTAGATGATGATGATGATATTATCTAGTAGCTGATTTGTTTATTTTTTTATGATTTGTGCAATAACAAACCTTGTTGGCCATAAAGAAAAAAACTTACCACACGGACACCAAATAAGCTAACTTATCAAGTGTTCATAATCCCATCATACCATAAAAAAAAAAAATAAAATGCAATCCAAGAAAGAGAAAAATAAACAAATCCAGTCAAATAGTCCAACAATGTCAATGATCATGGGGCCTTATAATAACGGATCATCGTATCCTGCAGCTTCTCATCATACTCGTCGGCCAGGTCGCGATCGGACACTTTGACCTTTCTAATCAGGTCCCTGGTCAGCTTCCTCAATTCATTCATCCACTGAAATCACAAAATCCAAAAAAGGTTAAACCTATTTATAATATAGAAATGTATATCTACGAAAACTCAAAAAAAATAAATACAACTTACATAATCCTGACTGCTCTTAGCTGGTGTAGAGACTGCAGATGGGTCAGTTGTCGGCAACAAAAATGGATGTGAATGCTGCCTGTACCATTCAAGGTACCCATCCTCACACTCTCCTACGGTGTCACCGCTATGATTGTATCGCCATCTGGTCAAATTAAGACACGCTGACTCTGGGAATCTCCTCCAAGTATTGAGTGTGTCAACAGAAGAATCTTTGTACAAAGTCTTGTGTAGTCACAGGTCCTCGGAATGCATCATCGGGGACATGGGCGAACGAGGAATGCTCTGTACGTAGCCAATCTGACGTATACATCTGTCCGGCATGCATGGCTCCTGTATGTTCCTATACATTATCCACCCACTATAGATAGTCCTAGGAACTATTCCTTGTTGTCCAGGTCCAAATGGCTCCCACTTAACCTGCAAAATAGCATTTAGATTATTTGTAAATTTAATTTTCAAAAATAAAATGAAATACGATCAAATGAAGCAATCAAGTACCTCTAACTCGGTGAAACAGTCGAGACGCTCCCTAACCTGACGAAGACGATCTGACACAGATGTCGGCCCCGCAAAAGATGGTGGTATCCAGTCATGTACTCTGAGCCTGTCATTACCCGCACGGGCAACTCGCCCTCCCTGGGGGCGGAAAATCGGAAAGTACTCATATATCCAGCTGCGGTAGGGTCAAATAACCACCTAACTGAGTGCACATTGCCCTACTAGCCATCCCTAACTGACGGTATAGGAACGCAAGCGTAGCAGAGCCCCACGAGTATGAACCCATATTCTCGATCCCAGCCATCAGCTCATGTACAAGTGCAACACTGCACCTCCCACCACTCTTGCTCATGAACAACGTCGAGGCCAACAATACCCACAAGAAAGCACTGGCCTGGGTATTCGCGTCCGCTTTCTCGCATCGCTCAAGGATGAACGAATCAGAGACACCGCCATGACTCCACTTGTAATCATTCATATCCATGCCAAGTATCCCTGCTGCATGTCCCCTCAACAAATCTGTGTCGGACGTACCTGTCACCAACTCTCCATCGACCTCAATGCCCAAAATATGATAAACATCATGCATCATGATGGTCATCTCCCCAAACGGGAAATGAAATGAATTGGTGTCCATTGCCACCTCTCAACAAATGCCCGAACTAAGCCAAGATCAATATCTTCATACGAGGTACGAAGAAGGTGACCCAATCCAGTCCCCGAATCTTGTCTCTCACATCATCATCCATATTTTTATACCACATCTTCAACTTATTAGAATCTTTTCGCCTTTAAAATCTTCAATGTGGGTCTATTGTATCCATGCCAGAAATGATAAGCAATATGCCCAAGGAAGCTAGGAATCACGCTACCATCTATCGGCCCACTGTGTACTTCATCCGTCACTAGCCATGTAGTCGGATCAATGTCATCAGAAACTCTCATTGTCTGCTGCCTTTGTACCATGAATGAGTAAAACAATAATTATTTATTACATTTTGTACATACAACAATTAATCGTAAATATAAGTAACAATAATTAATTAAACATAATTACAGAATATTAAATATAGATATTTGGTACCTGATGATGCAGTAGTGGTAACTGGACGTGGAGATACTCCGGTGGATCCGGACCTCGGCTAGGGCCCACGGGATCAATGAGAGGTGGAGGACGTGTAGATACTCGAGCGGAGACGGGACCTCCGCGAGGGGCACGGATCAATGTAGGGGAGATGCGAGCGGGGCGGGGACGAGGCGACTACCGGATATACCCAGATGCGGGAAAGAGGGACTATGATATGGACTGCGCCACTCACCACTCTTAGGAGAAGGGATAGGGGTAGGGGGAGAGGGTAAACCGCGAGGACCAGGCCGGGGAAAACTGGAGTACCGAGGATGAGGGTAACTACTAAGATTGTACACAGGCGTATCTCTGTGATGTGCACCCATCCTAACACTGTCCTGCACATCATCCTCATCAAACTCATCCTCCTCATCCTCATCCCCCTCTTCCAGGTCGTCCTCAGAATACTCGGATATATTAATCGGCTGACTAGACCGAGTCTGAAGCGGTACACCCCCCATAGTGACCTGAGTCATTCTCATTCGCTTCTTTTTCTCTTTTTCCTCTTTTTTCTTTCGACGACTCATGGTCAGATGACGCGCACGAACCTTACGCTTACTACTATCTTCAGTATCACTAGTATCACTATCATCATCATCATCACCATAAACCTATAAATAAAATTTTATTCATCGTCATCATATTTTCATAGTCTAAACAAATAATTATACGCATATCCTAAATCCTAAATAGTTTAAGAATTTAGTACAATTCATATAATAATTAAGTAAACTAAAGTACTTTACCAAATTTTAAATTAAATTACTATTTAATTAATTAAAAATATATTAATTTAATTAATCATTAACTACTTTACACACAATTTAAATTAAATTACTAATCTACTATTACTATTACTACTTCAGTATCACTAGTATCACTAATTTACATACTATTTAAATTTATTTAATCAATCAAAATGAGTAACTTTACTAATCTACTAATAATTAAATTAAAAATATAACCTAATTGCTTTCATAACTAATTAAAATAATGAGTAAATCAATTAAACTAATATGGTTTTCAACTAATCTACTATTAATTAAATTAGTTTTCTCATTCAACTAATTTACATAATATTTAAATTAATTTAATCAATTCAAATGATTAACTTTACTAATCTACTAATAACTTAGTTAAAAATATAACCTAAATACTTTAATAACTATTTAAATTAATAAGTAAATCAATCAAACTAATTAATGAACTAATCTATTATTAATCAAATTAAATTATTTACACAATTAAATTAAGTAACCAATCTAAATCACAGAATATTCAATAATAAAAAATTACTTACTAACCCTAATTACATTAAATCAAACATAATTAAAACATAATTACATTGTAATTAAACAAATAAAAAAAAATTGCAATCGCGCCGGACGCAGGAGCCGGAAGCCGGCGCGCGGCAAGGGCCTATGAGCAACGCGTCCCGGTTCAACCCGAACGAGCAAACCGCCCGTTCGGGTTGAACCGACGCGTTGCAGCGTGCCCGGCCGCGCCACGACGGCTTTCATTGCCCGTCCGGCGGTCTTACAAAATTTTTTTAAAAAAGAACCTTCTTGCTTGGACGGGCAATGAAGCCGTCGGCGCGCGGCCGACGGGCAAGCAACGCGTCCGGTTCAACCCGAACAGGCGCTTTGCTCGTTCGAGTTGAACCGGGCGCGCGTTGCTGCGCGTCGGCCGCGCCACGGACGGCTTCATTGCCCGTCCGTACAATTCAAATTTTTTTCCTTCAATTTACAAAGTTTTTTTTTAAAAAAAACGTACCCGTGATGAGATCGGCTCTTTCCCGCTTTGATTCTTCCGTGTTGCCATCAATTTTTCACCAAATTAGACTTCAAAATGGGATTTAGAAGGGTGGTGGTTTTAAGTTTTCTCTCTTTTTTCCTTTGGTGGAAGTTTAAAATGTAAAGGGCAAAATGGTCCAAAAAAATTTATGGTGGCTTCAAGTAATAAAGATAGTGGCTTCAAAAACTAACACCCTTTTTTTTTTTGAGATGCTTAATTGGGAACATATGCATGTGCATATCTAACTTTATTGTGATCATCAATTCATCATGCTTGTTAGTCATATCATCAATAATTCAAAATCACATCGTTGATGATCCATAATGCAACCACATATATATGGAAACTTCGACCCAGTTGAATTTGTGGATGTGGTACTACACAGTCTACACATAAAAGTTTTTATTCCGTTTCGCTCTTGAGTATACAGTTTTACTCTCTCATTCCATCTAATTTTACTGGTTTAATTTGACAAACTAATTCAAGAATTGAACTAACTTCTATCGTAATCCTTTAAATTGATAATCTCATAAGTCTCTTTGAAATTTTAATTATCAAAACTGAATAGAGCTAAATTAGAACCATGTATGCATGTATGTATGTGTTTTTAATTATTGTTGAGTTTGAGATTTTATTTTTAATACAATTTGAACTAAAAATAAAATTATAAACTGAACAATAATTTCGAGACAGGGGAGTACATGTTTTCTTTTTGTAAGCTAGAAAAAAAACAAACTAGAAAATTGTAATAAATATATATAGGCCTCTTGAGGTAGAGAAGGAAAAGAGTCATGGCTTAATTCACTGGATCTAATCGATATGAGGAACGATGATGGGCACCCGAGAAACCCTATTTATAAGGAACAAAAGAAGAGGAAAACCGTTGTAGCGCGCAAGAAGGAATCTCTCTCTTTTAGACGAAAGGAGGTGCCAAGTCCCAGTCAACGGAACCCTAGGAGGGAGACGACGACTCATGTCCGTGTTAGTATTAAGGAAAATGTTAAATGAATAAAAAGAAAGAAATTACCTCATGTTCCCTTGTCCCACATGGATGGATGAAAATTCTTGAACTCAATATATATATCCCATGTGCTACTTCCCTCATTGCCAATTGGTTTTGAGGTGGAACCACATGTGAGCCTATATTTGGGCCTTTAAGATAGTATCAGAGCGGGTTTTAATCCGCGGACATGTGGAACTTGTGGGACGAGGTGGACTGACCCAAATTGGGTCTTGAAACTTTGGTCAACCCACAGAAGAAATCGGGGTTTGACTTTGGACTTTGACTGGCCCGGCAGGCGACGGTTTATCTAGAAAAATAACTGATCGCAAGACTGAAAAAAAAAATCAGAAAAAAATATATATAAAATTTCCCGTCCAAGCCCATTGGGCTTGAAAGGGGCAAGAAAGAAATTACCTCATGTTCCCTTGTCCCACATGGATGGATGAAGACTCTTGAACTCAATATATATACCCCATATACTACTCCCCTCATTGCCAATTGGTTTTGAGGACTCTTGAACTCAATATATATACCCCATGTACTACTCCCCTCATTGTCAATTGGTTTTGAGGTGAAACCACATGTGACCTATATTTGGGCCTTTAAGAGAAAAGAACTTGGATTGGCTAATCCCTAGAGATAAAGCATACCGAGAATCATCGTGACATGCTGCTAATTCAGATGCAAAAAATGTTTTCAGCAACAGAATAACAACATATGATCATTCTGTTGAGGAAACCTCAAAACTACGTTTGTTGCCCGAACATATATATTATGCTAGCTGTTTGTTTGTCCCTCCTCTTCTGAGGGCCGACGTTCTTCAGTTGAAATGCTGATCGTTCTGTTGAGGAAACCTCAAAACTACGTTTGTTGCCCAAACATATATATTATGCTAGCTGTTTGTTTGTCCCTCCTCTTCTGAGAGCCGACGTTCTTCAGTTGAAATGCTGATCGGAATATTTGACCAACGACTTGATTTTGACCACAAGTCTAGTCGTGGTCGTGCTGTGCTTTACCACGTGGACGATAATAAAGGGACACTTGAGGACTGAAAGGAGAAGAAGCGCGGTACCCGAGGAGGATTTGCCCACTGGATGTGGTGATCAGTATGCTTTTGCTCTATTAGAGAGCTTTTGAGTAGACGTTGGAATATTAATGTATCTCATGTATATAAGGAGTGTAATTTTATTGCCGATTGTTTAACAACACTTGCGGCTGAAAATTCAAGAGGCTTACACGACTGGATTCGCCGTTGTCAGGAGTTCGTCCTTGGCCATATTTCACGACGCGGTTGGGGTAAGTTACCCACGTCGAACTGTTGTAGCGGCTTAGTAGCCTAATGTCCCTCCCCATTATTTATCAAAAAAAAAAAAAAAAGGTATGCTATTGCTCTTCTTCGTTATAAGTAATAAGTAATTATCCTGAGAAGTCTGCGCTGCGGCTGAAGCCCATCCTTGCTGAATCTGTCAAAGAATGGGCAGACCAGAATTATCATGGGTTTTTTTGAAAAAAAAAAATTTTGTCTTCTTCTTAGAAGTCAGAAGATGATGTTCCCAATTAATTAAATGTTGAAAAGAGTAGTTAGAGATGAGTTGTGCTGTGGTTGTTAGGCTATGCAGATCGATTTAATTTGCAAACCTTTAGTGTGTGAGAGGCAGGAATGAAGTGGATATTTATGTTTTATGGATCGAGTTTTGTGAATTGATTATTGAGGCATGAAAGGAATGAAAATTGTTCCCTACAAAAAATATGAAACGAACATTTAAACTTACCCTTATACGTCATCTGTACCAAAAAGATTATGTGCACTATAATTTGTGATTGCTAATTTAAAATATTTAATCGCTAATAGTAATTCGTACTATTTTGGTTGAACTATGAAAGTACGTACTTTATATTTTATAAAATCTACATTTTGCATGGTGGCTTTTTTAAAGAGATACCCGTTTTACTTTTATGATTATTTGTTTTTTTACCTGTTCAGGCTTACAATTTTTTCAAGTGAGCTGCTCGTAGGATTATTTCATTTTCACGATATATGATTTCAGAAATTTATTTATTTTTATATATAAAAAAAGGAGTTGTTTGTATAATAATAATAGTAGAAAGATAAATACAACCATTTTGAGATGAATTTTGTGACTATTTTTTGTGGATTGCTTCTTTTACATACAGTTTAGAAACTTAGAATGTGGATGAAAGATGATAGGAGGTAATTGTAAAAAAAAAGAAAAAAAAAATATAATTATTGAGGTTTTACCTGTTTCATTGTTTTTTTTTTTTAAAAAAAAAGCAAAACACAAAATACAAAATTGATAATAAAACTAGTATTTGATCAAATTTGTGACTTATGTACGCAATGAATTTTGCAAGTTTGTTACACAAACATAAACAAAGACAACATCACTATTACATCGGAGACAAACATTAAATCTTTCGCTCCAACCTTCTTCATTCATAACAACAAAACCAATCTAAAAAATGTAATGAAACCTTAAACTATATAATAATTTGACTTTCATCGATCAATGAAAGCCTTGATTCGGGACACGAGTTCATCAGTCCGAAGTAGTGAAACCTGGGACTTGTTCAGAATCTGAAATGCATGCCCAACACCTTTACAAACCATATGCTCCACTCTCTTACCAGCACTACCCAAAGCCGCAACCAACTCCATATTCCTATCCTTTAATATATCCATTTCCGAAACACAAACCAACACCGGAACAAGCCTTAGATTCTCCAATCTCGGGGCATCTTTCGACGTCGGGTTGCACCACGGATGATCTCGGGTCACACCGCCCGGCAATGATAACCGCCAATAAGTATCCGAAGCTGCTAGAGTTAGAGCCGACCTAGGTGGTTGAACCATGTATTTTTCCGAATATGTCCTTGACTCTCCTCCGAAAAATGGCTGTATAAGAATTGCTCCTTTGAAATCCAATGGCCTAAAAGTTGAGACCGAGAGTGTCCCAGCGGCGGATGATCCTAATCGAGTGGCGATATTATACGCAATATTCCCTCCGGCACTATCTCCGGCGAGAAAGATGCTAGTTGGATCACATTTGCTTGTGAACCAATATTCATTACCTGAGTTATGTGAAAATTGCTGTTTAACCCAAAAGAGGGCCTTAAAACCATCATCATAGGCAGCCGGAAGAGGGTTTTCCGGGGCGAGGCGGTAATTAACCGACATGATCACACAATTAGATTTGGAAGCAAGTTTTGTGAGGAACTCATGGTAGCAACTCCAGGAAGCTGAACCAACACAAAACCCGCCGCCATGGAAATACACAAGCAAAGGGTGTTTACCATGGGATTTGGGCACATAGAAACGTGCCCAAATGTTCATAAACTTGTCAATGATGATATCGGTTGATGTCACGCCATGATGATCAGCCACCGCACATGTGACACTAGGAACGATCTGGGGTCGCTCCACGTGTCCATCCTTGTAAACCCTTATGAGCCCTTCAATTTCTTCCATCACAACGTGAGAACCGCCAGTACTCTTGATTTGAACCCTCATGCTTGGATCAAGTGTCATGGCAGCCATTCTTCTCTTTCTCATATAATATTGTACACAACTTTAGAAAACTAGGTTCTTTAGCAAGCTAGCTAACTAGAAGATTGGTTGAAACTAAGAGCCAAAAGATGCACATTTTATAGGAGGAGGATTGTAGAAAGTGGTAATAGATAGAAAGAATGAAAGAAAGAAAGAAAGTAGAATATATAAAGTTGAGTTTTTTTGGGGATCGAAATCAAATCATCAAATCAGATCAAAAAGTGGGAAGAAGGAAAGGACCCTCCTTGACTTAAATTTCATCAATGGCCACAAGACAATTGGGCAATTGAAGGACTTGTACACTCTCTCTGTCACATGGAGTCTACAAAGGTGGGCTTCCCCCACTTTCGAACACCCTTTTAATATTGCCGCTTTAGGTATGTCCCCAACTTAGAAAATACGATGTCATTATTAACATTATTTTCAACCCTTTTAAGCTACTCTTCTATGATTAGTGCTTAATTGCTCCAATCTCAGTTAAACAATTGTTTCTCACTAAATAAAATAATCAAACTGACTAAGACTCGGGGGGAAAGCATGTCTCCAGTTAGAAACCACGCATGTCTAGAATCTACGCAACACTATGTGCTAATAATGTTAATTAATTGTTGGACTAAAAAAGTGCCGAGATAATATAAGGTTTTATGCTGTTTAAGTGGTTATTACTTTTTCTAAAAGTTTGTACTCTTATACTACGATATTTCCAACTTCCAACGTTGCGAATGAGGTCATTCATACAAGACTTTCAGTTATAGTGTGATAGTATCTCATTAATGGAAATACTTTCTGATTCTATTTATATGATACTCTCGCACTCAGTTTTAAAATTTGTATTAAAATTAATTTCAAATATGAAAACTCAATATTCAGTAATTTTTTTTCAGACAGAAGGAATATAATCACTAACACTTCAAATAATGATGATGTGATTAAGGTAGCGCAAAACCAAACAACGTACGTTTAGACAAACTATGTCCATTAACTTATTAAGAAGCTTCCTTTCCTGCTCTGAGGACGCCCGTGATCATGAATCTAGTTCTGTTACTATTTCTATCATAGATTTGTGAGCCAAAACTTGTAAAGTGTTTTTTTCCCCTCCTTTCCAGTCAAAGAAGTAACTTACTAGTCAAAAGAACTCTCATGCCAATCCAGCTCTTACGATGGTTACCGACTTGAGTATCTTGAGGAATGAGAGAATCCGGTACCATATCTTTCAGAAGATCTACTATTTTTGTAGATTCTTTCCTTTCTCTTTTCTCTTCATGGTTTTCAGGCTTCGCAATTAGGATTGCATATGCCACTAAAATTAAAACAACTCTTGACCAAGTGCATGGATTCATTTCACCACTATTTTCACGTTAACGTACGTGGAGAGATCGCATTCTTTTGTTTGGTTTTGATCTTCACTTTCGGTGGGAGAGAGTACAATGCATGTTGGGTCCTCCATTCAATTTGAATGGAAATTAATCTAAAAAGAAATGTTGTCTTTGATCATCGTAAAATTATTTTTTAATTTAGATTTTTCATTTTTAGTTTAAATTAAACTATAATAAAATTTAAACCGGACAATAATTTTTAGGACAAAGGGAGTAAATAAAAAAAAAAAAGATGTAAATTATATAGCGGCGCCCATAAGATGGTGATCAATGAATTCTATTAATTTTTTCTTTGGGAATAAGGATTCCCAAATGAAAAAGTACGTATAGCGCCCATAAGATGTAAATTGTAAAGCAATAGTGAGGTCATTGACATGATGCATAGGCCACTATAACAATATACCTACCTCAAAATAATCTCTTTTGGCAAATTAAATGTAAGTTTCCAAAGGGAAATAATTATGCCACATTTCTTGAAAGGAAAGGAAAGTTAGAAAGATAGGATGCATGCCATCCAGAATCTTCAAGATAAAAGAGAGAAGAACATACACATACATCACTAAGAGAATAAAATCCTTTCAGTATATGCAACTGGCCAAACATTCATCTTTATTCTTCAGTTTGGGGCATCTCCAATCTTTTTGACCAGATGACCAAATTGTTTGCCTGCATTTGGATAAGAACTTTTAATTAATCACCTGCCAGCGTTATTAATAATTAATAACTCTTGCATGCCCTAAAAGTTTGGAAGCTTTCTTAGTTTTCTATTTTTGTGTTTTGATTTCTTTTACGTGGAATATTATCCCCAACTCTCGATTAGCAAAATGACTTTTTCGCTCATCACTAGTCCATTTGTTCCTCTATCATTTTGACATTCCAAGCTAAAAATTACTCCAAAATTATTGTCAAGGTTAAGATTTTATTTTTAGTATAATTTGAATTAGAAATAAAAATCCAAACTGGATAATAATTATGGGACGGAAGTAGTATATAATACTCCCTTTGTCCGAAAATGAAAATCCAAAACAATTCTTACTGGATGATAGGATTAATGCTCATTTTTGTCCTACATCTTATTACGCCAACTGTACTTGTATTGTGCTTGACAAATATATACAAGTTTAATTCTTTGGATGAAGGGAGTACTATGGTCTTGGCCAACTGGAGTTGGATTACTATCTAATTAGATTAGTATACGTATGCTGATCAACTTTTCCATGCAGGTAGATCAAGATATTTATGGTGTACAAAAGTATATATACTTTTTAACCAGGAAATTAAGTGTGCGCATCTTCTATGCGCATGTATCAATGCATCATTTTGTTACTTTATTTTAAATTTTAAGGTTTACAAAGTCACCTTAATAAAAATATATAAATCAGGCCCCCCAAATCTTCATTATACATTTGAGTCAAGATATTATATTCAATAATTTGAATTCCTTACATGTACGATATTGAATCCATTAATGTGGGAAAAGAATAGATATAAAACTTGACACCACAATTGTAAAATGTCAAATTTCTCTTTTATCAGTGTTATATAACACACGTGACATGAATAACCCGTCGATATTCAAAATTTGTGACCACCTAGTAATTTTGCATATGAAGGATTGATTAAGTATCAAGTTAATTAAAGTATATATAGTTCGGTTAATCTACCCGCAAGACATAATATTCTTACGGTTTATGGATTTGTGTTTTACTTGATTTTGCGAAGATTAAGTTCAAATACTGAAAAAATTCAGTCGGGGAGTTGGTGCAAGTTGGGAATTTGTGAATTGTGGCATAACACGCACGTGAAGGATAGTTCCCACAAAGAATATATTCGACAAGTGATAACAACGAAGGATACGATAAAATCAATGGAAGATTTGGAAATTTGATGCACATTTTTCAGTTTTCACAAGAAAAGGTCTTCCACGCGAAGATACCACAAAACCATTACCAATTTGGTTTCTGTAGTGGCTTGGAGCTGACGGCGGAGATAAAGATGTGGTTGGATTATTATGATATTATTGGAATATTGTGTCCTCGAAAAAATTTAATTTAGATAATTAATTTAAATTATTCAATTTCACTAGAAAATAGTTTCCACGAGAATATACCACTAAACCACATTACTGATTGATTGGAGGTTCCGGTTGACATAAAGATGTGACTGGATTATGATATTATTGGAATATAGAATTTCCAAAATATTTTAATTTAGATAATTCAAGTTATATTTCTTTCTAGTGTGTATCCAAAAAAAAAAATTTAAAAAATATTGCAATAACTGTACTTCTCCTAGAAAAATATTTTTTATTTCTTGATGGGACAAGCTTCTACCTAACGATACTTCCATTCGTAACTCTAGGAAATGAAGTTTTATTAATATGAGATGGATATAATATAGTTGCTTATCTGTACATTAGTAAAAACCTCTTAGTGAGTATAAAATCTTGAAAGTCATTGGTCTAAAATTAAATTGAGCATTATGATTGGCCCATTAGTTCACATGACATTATCAATTTTAAATTGAGCTCTTTGATTGGTTAATATATTAATATGACATCAACAATTTAAAACAAGGCTATAATGATCAATTAATAAAGTTATTTTTTTTACCAACCAAATATGTCATTAGCCGAGAGAAATAATCTAATTAATGTGGCGGGCTAAACGACGGTATTTCCTACCTAATGTTAACAATTAAAATGTCATTTTTTTCCCAATTTTATTGCTAATTTTTTTTGGCCGCTTGCCATCCCTTCCTTCCCCACAAATCTTCTCCCGCCCCAAAATCTTCTGATTTTTTATTCTTCGTGTACATCTGAAAAATAGATTAGGTTATCTAAAGTTTGAGTTATTAAAGATTGGGATTCTATCTTTACCAAAGTAAGGAAAATTTTTATCTCTGTTTTTTTTTCCTTTCATAAGAATTAATTATTCTAAATTACGTGCTAAAGTCTTCTATATATATATATAAAGCGAAATTGAAGCAAAATTTGGTACATTATATGTAAATATTTTTCTTTTAGTGTGTTTCTGTTTATTCCATTATCTTAAAATTTTGCATTTAGTACATACTAGAGGTGAAAATGATCTTCAAAATACTCAAATACTGAACTGGTCGCGCGTTGCGCGACGAGAAAAATTCTAGTCAGTTGATAAATGTCTCATCTCATTAAGGATTACGTTTGATGACGGCTAGAATAAAATAAATAAGAAGATTAGGGTTTTATTATAATGAGTATTTTAGTAATTTAAGCTTTAGTTGATTAGGGTTTATTTTTATGTCTTTCTTTTCTATTTAAAGGGATTAGTCGTTATTGTAAAGGTTGGTTGATTTTGATTAATGAAAAAATGAGATTTAATCTCAAACCTAATTTCGGTGCTCCACTGGTTGGATCAAGGCCGCAAATTATTAGACTAGTTTTGATTTGTTCCATCTATTGGTAAATTAAAACTAGTAGTGGTTTAGATTTCCACGGACTGAAAATCATTAACCTAGATCACTGCCGATTGATTTAGGCTTCCGTCTGCATCAGTTGGTATTAGAGCCAGGTTCTTCTCCTGGTTGGTGCCGTGGTTTACTTGTTCGCACTTCAAGTTTGACCGTGATCTTTTTTCTCCCGATGATATGTCGCAAAAAAAGGATCTTCAACTCCGGGAGGTTTTGCGTGAGGTGCTTACGGCAGAATTTGATCAGTATGCGGACAACTTGGAACTTCGACTTGCTGAAACTATTGGCCGGCGTGTAGGAGAGGCTGTGGCGGCTGAGTTTCAACGTTTAGGGTTTGTGAAGAAGAACCCTAAACTAGCATCCAAGGCTGAGAGTTCTTCGGGTGATTTTGTGGAGTCGACGGAGAAAGATGCGTTCGATGGCAATTCATCCCATTCTACTTAGTTTTCATGTACTTCTCACCGACAAAAGGGTTTTAACGGCGACGATCCACGA